GCAAACTAATCTCTTATGTCAAACATGTAGGGGGCAGAATTTTAAATGCAAATATCCCCAAGAACGGAGTGTCGGAAGAGAGTAGGTATAGGTATCTACTTTAAAAAAAATAGAAGTCGACAAGACGGGACTAAAGCTACACATTCGTATGCGTCTTGAAAATGGCGTATCGTAAGATGGTACTCAGAAAGCGGAAATGATAGATGTCGACGAGACGCATCCGTTCGTGGGGTCAAGAATTGCGAAAACGATGTGTCCAAACGGCGATGTTGGGATTGTTTCGTAGATGAACCCTATTAATTGTAGGCACTGCCTCCAGGGCACCATGAGTGTGGAAAAGTGGATTTTGGGCGATAAAATGGTCGATTTATTTTATTAGATGTTAAATCGGTAAATGCTTATCGTATCTATAATATTGCTTCGAATGTGAAATCTGTATAAAATGAAGGTGGGCAATGAACCTAAACTTTCTATAATGGAGTTTTGTGGATAACCCTGCAATAAAAAAAATAAGCGTGGCATTTTATTATTAAAGGGTTTATACCGTCGGTTAGAGAGTCAAAATTGTATGTATATAGTGCTGGATGTTGGAGATCAGTAGTGATGTTTTTTGTATTATCAATTTTAGTGCTTTATTATAACGGCCTTAAATTTTCTACTAAAAGTCTATTGCTTCTGGGTGGCATCTAAACTCCTAACCTTTCTTTCTTTAGCGTTGTTCAAAAAAACAATTACGATTCGTGCACCTGTCTATAAATTTCAATATTTTATTTATTAATGGATAAGACTATTAAACCTTTAGGATAGGGAAGAAAAGTATCACAATTCACAACAAAGCTTCATCATCTAAATAGGACATGGCGCCATCAATCTGTAAACTTATTAAAATCCTTAAAAAAACAAAACAGAAATTTCTATATTACAGGGTGGGGCACGGGGAACCAAGTGTTTTTTAAATTACACAGAACAGTAACCTCATTTTCTTGAAAAAAAATAGGGACGGATGACGCCAAACTTTCGTTTGTCGGGTTTTTCGGCAGCCCAATCCTGATCATTTTGTTTGTTGTCAGCCCCATGAAGGTGGAAATGGGCTTCATCATTCATTGCTACCATAATTTTTCATTCTTCTCATAAAGTACAAGCATTTCCTGTCCAAAATTCAATCGTTGGTTCGCTAACTTGTATGGGTGAAAATATAATTCTTCAGGCAAAATCCGTCTTACAGTACGATTACTGAATGTTTCCAAGCAGAGCGGCCTGGGCTTTGTAACATCGCTTGTCTGACCCTTTCAACGGTCTCTGGAGTACGCACAGTACGTTGGGGGCGAGGCGTTTTTTTCATTTCCGAAGATTGTTAATCCAACATTATGATTGTGTCACGAGCAGGAACAGAATCATTTCGATGAGGAGGTACCGGGGAGCAATGTAGTTTTGGACAAAGACACTAATCCCGGAGGTTTGGTTGGGCGGTACGTGGGGATGTATTTATTACCTTACAACATTGTTAACAGGACACTATGAGAACGCTGTCTACTTGATGAGATTTAAGACAAGACCGAGCATTATTCTCTAGTGGTGAGGACCAGAGAATTTGACAAACGGTAAAGAAACAGGAAACAAGGCAATAAGCTATAAATATTAGGCCAATATCTAGGGGGCGGCCACCTTCCCAGCGAAGAAGCGTAAGCGGTACCCTAGAGCTACTACAGCATAAGAGAAGGGTTTTGGTGAGTAAACGTCTATCGAGGAACTAAGTATAGAACCAAGCAGCGGTGGGGTGGGGGCCGAATAAAAAGGCAAGGCAGGTATTAAGAATTATCATTATGCAATATGAGATACAGAAATGCAAACAAATTGCGTGGAAAAAACACACCTGACAAAAGTTAACGAAGCCATTAGGACATATAAATTACAAGAACCGGAAATATTTATTAAATTTACAGAAGAAATAGAAAAAAAGGCAGAAAAAGATTCAGCACAATGGGAAACCATGAATTTGGAGCAACTATGGCTACTCTTCAAAGAAAGCGTAATATCAACAGCGAAAGAAACGTGTGGTGTAATAGGCATAAATAAAAACAAAAAACAAACGAAATGGTGGAATCAAGAATTAAAAGAACAAGTAAAAATCAAGAAAGAAAAATGGAAACTATACCTAAGTATGAAATCGGAAGCCAGCTACCAAGTATACAAGCAACAGCGAATAAAAGTAAAAGCAATGGTACTACAATCCAAACAGCAAACATGGGAAGAGTTCGGAAGAAAAATAGAGACAGATAGCAAAACAAACCAAAAACTATTTTATAAAGTGCTAAAAAACTTAAGGAAAGATAAACACCACACATTGAAGTACGTGAAAGCAAAAGATGACAGTGTATTAACAGAAGAGAAAGCAATCATAGAAAGATGGAAGGAATACTTTGAAGAACTGCTCAACCTAGACACACAAGCCAATTTTCTAACCGAGGAAGAAATCAGCTATACAGAAAGCGAAGAGGACAGTAATATACAAATGGAAGAACTGAGGAAAACGATAAAGTATATAAAAAAAGGGAAATCAGCTGGCCACGACAAGATAAATGCAGAGATGCTGAAAAACCTAGGGGCGCGAGGGACAGAAATGCTAACAAAAATCTTCAACAAGGCATGGACTACGGGAAAAGTACCAGAAGACTGGAAGTTGGGAATAATAATACCGTTATTCAAGAAGGGCGACAGTAGAGACTGCAGTAATTATAGGGGCATTACAATACTAAGTGTGGTATCAAAGGTATATGAACACATAATGGAGGCAAGACTAAGAACCCAAATAGAAGAGCAGCTGGCAGACACTCAGAGTGGCTTCAGGAAAGGAAGGAGCGTACAGGATCATATCTTCAGCATCAAACAAATGATAGAGAAAAGCAAAATGCAAAATTCTGAAATTTACATGGCCTTTCTGGACCTTGAAAAAGCATTCGATAGAGTACCGCGAAGCGTAATATGGAAAAGTCTAACGCAAAGGAAGGTGAGTGCAAAGTTAATAGAAGGAATAAAGGGGTTATACGAAAATAACAAAAGTTATGTGAGGAAGAATAATAGACAATCGACAACATTTGAAATAAGCGAAGGTTTAAGGCAAGGAGGGGTCCTGAGCCCAATACTGTTTCTACTGATAATGGACGATATCATCAAAGCAACAGCAACCAGAACCAAAAAGGTGCATATCGGTACCAACAAGCTAATACCCGTGAACGTGTCAGAATGTGCCTTTGCGGACGACGTAATGATTTGTGCAGCAAAGGAGAAGGACCTGCAAGATAACCTACGGATATGGGAAGAAGAATTAACAAAGAGAAACATGATAATAAACACGAATAAAACAAAAGTAATGGTGATAAGTAAGGAGAACAAGAACATTAACATAGTAATAAATCAAAACAAGATAGAACAAGTCGAAGCATTCAAGTATTTAGGGGTATTGATAGACAGAGAGGGAAATATGGAAATGGAAATTAACGAGAGAATTGGTAAGGCAACAAGATTATACCACAGCCTAAACAAGTCGTTTATAAGCAGAAAGGAAATTAGTACAAAAACAAAAATGACAGTATACAAAACGGTATTTAGACCAATCCTAACATACGGAAGTGAGAGCTGGGTGCTGACGAATACTATGAAAAGGCCACCGACATGAAATACTTAAGAAGAGTTAAAGGAATCACCAGAATGGACAGAATAAGAAATGAGGCGGTGCGAGAAGAACTGGAAATTGAGTCAATTATTGACATGACAGAGAAACAAAAACTGAAGTGGTTTGGGCATATATGCAGAATGGACAACGACAGACAAGTTAAAAGGATATGGGAATCAGGCGTGCAAAAGAAAAGAACAAGAGGACGACCCAAAAAAACGTGGAACGATGAAGTGGCCGCAATACTGAAAAGAAAAGGAAGAACGTGGGCAGAAGCGAGAAAACTGGCAAGAGATAAGAAACAATGGACAAAATTTGTACACGAAATTGAAATGTAAATTAAAATTATGTACCTTACACCTTAGGGTAAAAGGTTTCTTTGATTATATATATATAATACTGCCGAGTAACGGCCTTCTCAGTTTAATGATAACTGCGATATTCAATTTTTACTGCACATCTACTTTTTGAAAAATCGACAGGGGGGCAACTTTGATATAAATCACCCTGTATAACAATTGCAATTTCGTTGAAAATATTGTTGTTGTTTAAGGGTCTCTCAACATGCCCTGTCAATGAATTTTAAATATTTATGTATGTACGTTAATAAACCCACAATCTTCCACACACACTAATGGCCCACCCTGTATTTGTTTAATTTATTTTATATAGTTTTCTTTACCATGTTGTTTCTGTGGTTCCCAACAGCACTTAATTATTTACTCCATCTTGCTGGATTTTGTTTATTCAGTTGAGCATACTTCTTAGACCATATAGTACATGGACTGCTAATTGTAACGAAAATATGGTCAAGGACATTGCCTGGGTATGTGAGTTTCAGGGTAAACGACTCTGTCCGAAGTTGTCCGATTAGATACGATTTGAGACTGTCAACCTATAAATTAACAAACGTCAATTAATTAATGGCCTAGATATGCAAAAAAAGCAAACCTGTTCTTATTTGTGGATGTAGAGAAGATAATCAAGAGTAATTAAAGCTTCCCGTACTACGCGAATACTATAAAAGCTACTCTTTACGCGATCCGGGTGGTGTTTACACGACTTTAGTTTACCCTGAGATTCACATACCCACGACTACAGTGCCCTCTATCCATGACCACCCATTTTGTATTGAAAGCATAGGGCTAATAGCAGTCCATGTACTATATGGTCTAAGGCATACTTCCACTCACCTCTTTTGGGGGCAAATATTATATCTACAGTTTTGTCACCCTCTTATGATTGCATTATTTTCCCTTTTTTTTTAAATTGAATTGTGAACTAAATTTATAAATTACTCTATTTATTTTCTTAAAATATACATATAAAAAATTCAACATTGTTTGACTTAATAACTTACAAAAATAATGTTAGATAATTATATTCTACTATCACATCATAATATTGCATCCGGCTTGCACATGGTCCATAACTTCCACTTTTAATATGCCAACTTGCTCTTTAAGCTGATTGACGAGAGAGGCGAGCTCAACATTCTCCCCTTTCAAATGTTTTACTTTGTCTTCTAGTCTGGAAATTCGTTCCAGTTTCCTCGTACGACATTTGGAGGCAGCAAGGCGGTTGCGTTGTCGCTTTCTCTCAAGCTTGATCCGTTCTTGCGCTTCCATGTCGACTGGCGACAGTGGAGGTGACGAGCTGTGTATATTCGGAACGGTTTGAGGTTCTTCTTTGATAATCGGCGTTAAAAATCCCAGGGTCGGCTGTTCTAATTCCGCATAAACTGTGGCACTTGATGAATTGTCGGATGCTAAAACATTTATTAGTATCTACGTACGTATATAAGATTCGGTAACCGACTTACCAGAGCTTGTGTTGGCGTTATTGTGGAGATCGTTGAGGGCGTTAACGAATCCGCTGGCGAATGTTTCGGGATCCTCCGCGACTGTTCGCGAGTAAATCAGCCCGGATGGTGTCGGCGTACTTGTGGAAATTCCGTTCGCCAATATCATCTTTTCCAATTCCGGAGTGCCGACCTTTAGCATATTTAAATCCGGCGAGGAAAGGACGGAACTTGCGGCGCTCAAGTTCAAATGTGGCTTTTTCGCCTGGTTAAAGTCTAAAGTTAGGTTTCGCTTCATGCTGTTTAGTTTCTGAGTGCTGTCGGACGAACCGCTCATAACAGCTAATTATTCTTGAACAACTCCCAACCCAACCAGGCCCATAAACCGAAGAATAATTTGATCGGTAATAAGACAATCAAAAGTAAAACGTAGTAGGTGGTGTCAGTCAGTTCCATAAAACCTGCAAGTGCAAATTGCTTTTAATTTTATGGAATGTAAAGTGAAGGCAGGATGAACAACCACAAGGTGTGTCCTGACCTCTTTCATAAAACTTGTTGATTACTTTTGCTGTTACAAAATCTGTTACATATCAATAGAGTAAAATTAGCAAGTACACTCACCTCATAATGTGTAAAAATGTAATTCTGCCGATGTTATGATGATTCACTACAAATAGTAGAGTGATAATTTCTTCAATGGCGCTACGTTTTTAACTTGAAATTTTTGTTCCGAGAAACACAAAATTTACTATAACAAGCGATGACTCACACTTCAAGGAAATATGACGTAAAAACATAGAATAATAATATTGCCATGGGCAATTTAGATGTGTCTGTTGTATAGTGTTCGTCTACTACTTGTAAACATGACTCCTCTCAAAGGCTACTGCATGCATTCTAACAGCCTATTTGATAACAATGATGATAGGTATTCTACATACGTACGAATAAATCAGAACTGTTTTGTTTTGTCCAAAAACAATCATGATTACACGAAATTTGTTAAAAAATTCAAACAACAACCTTTTGGGAACACGGCTGCATACACGAACACTTTTGTTATGTCGCTTTAGAATTGCGTTTGACGCAAATACCAGGAATCTGAATCAAACACCTCGATGAGGTCGGTCTGTCTGTCTGTACTCTCATTTCGGCTAAACGGATGAACCGATTGGAACCAAATTTGGTACTCATGTTCTTACATAAAAGGAAGAGCTGAATTTGGGTAGATTCACGCATGCGCAACAAAATAAACAATTTTTGACGTTTTCGTGGGGGTGGTGCTAGCACAGCAAATTTTCTTTGTTTTGGTGTGTTATGAACGCCAGAGCTTTAAAAAATTGCGAATTGCGTTTATTATCTGGATGCAAGCATTCTCTAATTGTACTTGATAGATGGTTTATTCTGTACTAATTCGGTGTCGAACACTAAAAACAATCTCAAATAAAATAAAAGTACATAATTATTTGAACGGCCAAATTTTTGGAAACTGCGAAATCCAATTGTTCGGCATTATAGGCACAGCCAATATGTTATTGATCATGAGATCTGTGGTTTCTTGTTTACTTAATTTAACGTTAGCCACCTATCGGCGAATATCGGAAGATAGTGATAAGAGCCATCGTACGCTAATCATTGCACCTTTTAATCAAGGTGGCCATGGCAGTGCCTTAATTTATATCCCAGCTCTGACAAACGAAATGAATCGTCGTGCGCGTGTGAATCTTTCGAATTTAACCCGAAAACAATAAAGGAGGCTGTGCAAATTATTGTTTTTATGTTAAATGTAACGTTAAGCTTAATGTGTCGCTTTGTTTTTGTGTTTTTACGTGTTTAAATATGTGTAATGTACCGCCAAAGTTTTATCAAGTGTGTCGTCTTTGTTTATCATGTCCGGAAAGTACTGATAGGGGTATCAATTTATCTATTTTCGAAAATGATATCGCCGACAGGAACATCCCGACTAAGATAATGACGTGTCTCTCTATACTGGTATGTGATTCATTTGTTTCGTTTCGATTTCGTCACTTGTAACCTCTTAATCTTGCGTAAATTTTTGTTGTTGTCTTATTTGTGAACGTAATTTCTTCGTGCATGTGCGTAGGGTTGGTCGTCGGGTGAAATCATGTGCAGAATCGCAGCTGCAACGGTAGGAATCTATTTTGGGATCGTTTTACAGAGTGCACTAAAATAAATAATTTTCTTTTTGTTTCCTGAAACATCTGCGATGCGTGGGCTTGTAGCCTGCTTAGATGCATTGTGTGTGTAATTACAACCGTCCAGGTAGTTGATGTATTTACTCTCCCATAAAACACCTGGCCGATTTACCTGGTCGTCTGCACGTAGAGAAAGTTTGGCAAAGGCAAGGAGCGGCAAGATGTGTAGCAATGATAAGATGAGCCTAACGTGATAACGGATGCCTCTCGCTTGCGCGTCCGCCGTGTTTTTTTTTGTGTTAACATTCCCCGATAAAACACGTTTTGCTGCCCAAACTTATTGGCATTGAGCTCTTATCAGTGAATCAACTCATTCACCTTGAATCTTTTGTAACCCGTCTCTTTACACCCATTCTCTTTCTTTAACTTGGAACGGCGTTTATAAATAAACATTAAACGCTGCTGTGCGGTAATGGAAATAATGAACCAACAGGAAATAATTGTGTAATTATGGGAATAAAGTTCCGAGGAGCAACGATCTTATTTAAATCACCTGCTGCCATTAACCAAACCAATTCTATTGAAAACTGCCCGTAAAAGTAAACGTGATTAAGAGGTTTTTCCTTCGCAGGCAAATCTAAAGATAAGAGTAAACAGGAAACACTTTCTAAGGTTATTTCAACGCTCTCTTGACTTTTTACCACGTGAAAAAGTAGGTAGTTTTGTAATAGCGTACACCTTTTTCTTTACCTGTCATCACCTCTTTTTGTTTATTTTTTTAATACAAAAAAAATAAAAATGGGGATGTTGACAAAATAAACATATGGGTGTATGTTATTTCATAACTGTACGGGCAATCGTAAGCGCCTAAGGGTGTGGGGGGGGGGGGGCAAAGCACTTGCGAAAACTCAAATTTTCTTCTCCCATTTTGACTCTGATAAAATTAAAGGCTTTTTTTTTGTAGGTGTCTGACAAGGATCCACTTCCACATGTAATATGCTTTCGGTGCGCCAATCAACTGGACGTTTTGAACGAATTCAAAGAAGCCGCACGAAAATCTGAAACGCTACTGTTCCAGTTTTTAGCTTATGCTCGTCAGGTTACCGGTTCATCTCAGGTAAGGTCCAATAGTAGAGGGTGTCTATGTACAATACCACTACACAGGTACATATCATACAGCCTGTATGATACAGGGTGGAAATGTCTGGAACACTGAAGATATCTTCAAAACAACATTAAAAAAATGCCTTTTATGATATCTATTAGTTTGCTAACAATCTTTTTTGTGGTCATTTCTGCATGGTTAAGGGGGGTATATTTTAGTAGCAACTACTGTGTGTAATGAAAACTAAAAATGGCCCCCTTGACCAAGCAGAAGTACGCCACTGACACAAATTTAAAGCATGTAGATTGGTAGCAGACTTTTTATAATTTAGGACACCATAAAAAGTTTCTTTTAAAAAAATGTTGTTTTAAAGTTGCAGACAAAATGTCCACCCTGTATTTTCATTATCTATGTACAGGTAGGTACTTACAGTTTAAAAACTGACTTACAGGTACTGTAATTAGCGAGGTAACTAGTGCATAATTAATTTACATACAAAGAAAATTTAAGATGGAATTAAGATGTTAAAAGTTGGCTTGGCATGAATACAGAAGTACCAAGCAAAAACAATTGACAATGCAACACTGACAAACACAATAAGATGGTTATATGACAACCGGACACTATATGACCCCCATGCTAGTGATAATGTTACTTGACTTATTGTTCTTAAGGGCTGTGTTGCAGTGTTGTATTAATCAAGTGTTTTCTACCTTCCTCGATCTTCGCTTATTAAAAAAACCCCCAAAAGGTTATCGACCCGGTGAAGTTGTAATTGGAAAGTGAGTGTACTTTTATTTTTTAATTTTTGGTCGATATTTTTAAATGGGCGGGGTTTCAGCTAAGGCTGCTCTACCAACCAAACCCACTATACATTTACAAATATGCATGTTCGAACCAGAGACAGCAATCGAGTTTCTTTGTTTTTATTTATACTTTTTGATGTAATAAAAACAATTACAATTCCCTTTTGAAGAAGAAGGTAAAAAAAACGAACAAACTCAAAAAAGTAATATTGAAGTTTAAGACGCACAGAAACGCTGCACATAAAAAAATGGTTCCCATTCGGGGCTCACCATTGGGATGTTCATGTAGAAGGGTGGACCTGATGATCTGTTTGTAATGATTTTGCACCATTTTTCCACAATTGTTGGAATTGCGAGATAGAAAATGCAGTGCAAGTGGAAACACACATCGACGCCGAAAAAGTTGTAAAATTGGACAAGTCAGTGTTTCGTAGTGCAGCCGCCACATCAAAGATGGCAGTATTATCGCGTTGTATTTTCATTTTTCCTGTTCATAACTGCAGTGCTGCACGCAATTGTTTGTGTTTTCTTGAAATAACCTTTATCGACCTCTTATGGCAAACTTTTCTCTGAAATTTTGACATTGTGACCTTTTAATAAAAGCCAATAGAACGCACATATTGATCAAAAAATATGAATATCTTTGTATGTTCGTCCGTATGTCTGTCCGTACCCACTTTTGCGTTTTTTTTCTTTTAGAGAGATTAATTGTTCTAGAATATTGCAGATACCTTATAGTTTGAAGGTTCGCCACATGGCAATCTTAAAATTTTTCATTTTGTAGAAGAATGTTTGATCAACATTTTGAGGTGGGAGGAGGAGACGAACAAACATCAATAATCAACTGTAATACGGATCAGTAATAATTTCTCGTTTAGATTATGAACCTAACCTAATTTTTTTAAATAGAACACCCTGTATACCTTTTTGAATCTTGCTTTAATTTTTATAATCACTTGAATCTTTTTTAAATATCATCTCTGGTGTGTTAATTTTGACAATATATGCTAATTTTAGAGGGGTGTTTTATTACAAAAGGTTCTTTATGATTGTGAATAATCTTCCTTTTTTAAAATACATAAGAACAGAAAAAAGGTTATCGGCCCAATCTATTTTTTTTGAAATAGCACTCCCTGTATGTTTTAATCTAAACAGATAGCATATTAAATTCGCTGTTTATAAGACCAAAAAAATTCAAACTCGAAAATCGAAATTAAAAAATATTCGTTTGTTTCCAGAATGACCATATATTTTCTTAGTTTAAAGAGACTCATGTTTATTACAAAATTTCTCTTTAATGATTGTTGAATAGTCTGCAATTTTCAAAATAAGTAGACAGGGTCACGTAAAAAGGTTACCGGACCTAAGCTATTTTTTTTAAATAGAACGCGTTGTATATTTTATTCGCTCGCTTAAGAGATAAGGGGAAAATTAAAAATTGCCAATTCCAGAGTGACCCTATATAACTAGTTACTAAAAGAGAGACAGAAAAATGTTTGTTACAACATTTCTTTGTAATGATTGTTGAATAATCTGCTGTTTTCAAAATCAGTATACAGGCTCAGATAAATGTGGTAAATTTTTGAAAAGAGAACTTTTAGGTTAAAATGTACATTTAAAAAAAGGTCAGATAACTTTTTTATCTGACCCCGTCAAGGACCCCGGGTATGTACTTATTTTAAAAACAGAATATTATTCCACAATCTTTATAAAGAAACATTTGTAATAAACACCTCTATAAAAATAGCACATTATATTCTCTGTTCAAAAATTTAACATACCAGGGATGATATTAAAAAAAAATTGAAGTGATTAAAAGAAATTAAAGAAAAATTCAAAAAATTATAAAATATTTAAAGAAATTTAAACAAAGGTTAAATAATTTAAAAAAATCAAAAAATATTTACCGTCGACCTAGAGGAGTGAATCTACGAGCGTTTCCTAGCTGTGCCAAGCTCGCTTTCGGCTTGCTCGACACTACATTAGAAAAATAGCGTGTTATGGAAATTCTGGTATTCAGATTCAGAAGGTACAACGGGAATTGTCTATTTCTGACCGTTTAAGGTAGGGAAAAGAAAACAAAAGATATTTTCAGTTATTTTCAAAGATTTTTCGAAAATTTCAAATGCTTTTTTTAGTCTCAAAAAGGGGCAACTGTGCCCCCATTTAACCTACACTGTTACGGAGATTCCAATGGTGAGCCATGAATTTGAACCACTCGGTACTGAAAGAAAGTGTTCAAAAATATGGATTTTTTTGTATTTTTTTCTCATAGAATCGAATGCTGTGATCAGTTTTTGACAAATTAAACAAACTATCAAAATTAACCAGAATATTCAATTTTACTAAAGCCAGTTTTTGTTTTTTGAGTTTTGATTGTTCCACAAACACTTTTGTCTTTGACCTTTGCTGGAAATTGCCGTAATTCGATTTCCCCCCCCCCCCTCCTCCTCAAATATTTGTTATTTGTAGTTATTCCAGCTCGTTTAAATTCGGTTTCTAACTGAATTTAACTAAGTTTCGTTGCCCAAAATATTTACGTGCACAAGTTCGACTGTTGATTGTACGGGGGTGTCAGGCGTCATGTCCTCTTTTAGGGTCACACTCAAAATGGTAAAATTTGAAAATATTCGCCCGCTTTAGAGATACGGGGGAAAATAAAAAATTGTCAATTTCAGAATACTTTCCCAGTAGTTTATTCCACGCTACCACATCAGCCGGATCATGAGGTTGCTAGTTCGCCTCCTACGGCAAATCTATTCTGTCTAGATACAGGCACCTACCAATGGAATGGAAAAGAAAAATTAATAATAAAAAACCCTACACTTTCTGCATTTCTGTTATTACAAATATGTCTCCTTTTTTTATGTGACTTTTTTATGTGACAGAGTAGGCTACTTAATTGTTCCTACTTTTGTACTTTTTGTTTAGCACCATAATTTCTTGTCCCTTAAGCAAGTTGCTTTAGCAATTAGCACTATGATGTCCATTAACTTCACCCAATTATCGAATAAATATAACAAACAAACATAATAAAGTGCTTATTTATTGTTGTAGTGTGGAATTCATAACTCCGTCCATTTGGCACAAGTTTTTTTAGGAAAGGGGGGGTGCTAAGCTGCCCCCCCCCCCCAAGGGTAAACTGCATTTAGACTCGAAATAAATTACAAACTGTGCTATGGGTTGCTAAACCT